CGTAACTCATTAAATATCGAAATTAGAAGAAGAATGCACTATTTTTAATTATAGGAAATGCGTTTTTCTAAGGTACATAAACTTTTGGGATTGACTATATAACCAATACATCCTTAAGTAATTCGCTTGTTTTACGTTTGGCACTTACTTTTAAAATATAAAAAGTTCATAGTTATAAAAGTCAACGAGCTATATATAAAGCCTTAATAAAAGATTCCTCTCTAGGTGAACATAGTTTGACGTACTTCGCTTTGAAAAGTTACTAACTAAGTACTTCCCTGAAGTTCTCGAAGCTATTGCAAGTTCTTGTACAAAATATGAAGAGTATTAAAATAAAGCTTCGATTATGTAAGTTCGCAACGATTCGATTCCACGAAATGGAACACTGATATTTGTTTTACATCCCAGTTCTTCAGAATAAGAAACTGTATTAAAAATCGAGTGTACGCCAACCACGTTAAAAGTTTTGAAACTAAGTATTGCTTGTAACGTGACGCAGCCAATTAAAAGTATAAAAAATAATCCGTAAGTAGGTTTGGAGAGTTTGTCAGGAAGCACGTGAAAGCTGCTTCCACGGGAAAATCGAATTTCCCGATTTTCCAACGAAGTTCCGGCGTCTGAAAGCGACAGCGGCCGTGTAATCGAGTTACTCCAAGATAATTCTAACTTCGTTTATCTCTACTGATGTTAAAAAACTAAATGCGCGTACGTTCCGTCGAAATGCACATGTCTAAGTCATATATATAAGATCATCTCAGATATTTGCGCAAATAATTTAAACCACACATAAAATTGTAATGTTAAGACACATTGAAATGGCTTGTAGATAAATAAATTTGTAAACTGCTGAATAATTTTTAAACTCGCATTTATAATATTTTATTAACCGGTCGAAAATATAAACGTGTATGCAAATATTTGCTGGGCAAAGGGTAATTTGTGTAAATCCGCGGAATGGGAATTATGAGCAACCGCAGGCGGTTTGATCGAACTGGCTGGGATTTAGGTTGATTCTTTCGCGGTTAATTTATTGTGCGAACGTTCGCGTTCGATGAAACCACTGAAATCGCTCACTCGAGATCTAAATATACCCGCAAGCCACGTGGGTGTGAACCAAAAGCCAAACCACCTCGCGCCGACGCGACGATTTCATTACAGTATATCTGCCCGAGGAATCGTTTTATAATTTCCCCGTTTCTTCTAAAAATTTATATTATGTTTTGTAATATTAACGAGAAAGTGTCTCAACTAATTTGAACGAAAATAAATTGCAAACTATAATTGTAACTTGCAAATGCAAATTAGGTGAAAATTATGTCGTTGCATGTTTTATGCAATGCAATATAATCTAGAAATTTATTCATAGCCCCCTTGTACATTCTTGCGTTTTTGAAAGAATGTAATTTACATACTCAGAAATTAAAGCAATACTTCGTATAATGCAAGCATATGTAGATGTACTCCATCGAGATAGTACAAGTAAAAATCCTTTTTATCTACTATGCTCGAAAGCAATGATTCTTTAGCAGCACCTGTGATCATAGACACGAGTCTCGTTCGTGGAACTGAATTTTTTCACCGAGGAACGATTCCCACAGCCGTGGCTGCGTCACAATGACTAATGCGATTGAAAATTAACAAAGGCCGCGGCGGTGAGAATAGACCGGAGGGCCCACGAGGCTTTGGGTAATTACCAGAGGAGCCGGGATGCATCGCATCTTGCACTCACCTCATGACATTAGTGCAGAATCCGCCGCAGGGCCTGACGGAGGGACCGATGCCCTTACACCTGGGACAATAGGTCATCCTGAGGAGCGCCCCGTGGCAGGTCTCCTGCTGCGGGCTGGTACCGGAAAACAGCACGCTGTCGGTCCTATCCAAAACCGTTTTGCCGAGAGTCAACGCCTGGACGAGCACCCGCGTCGCCTCCAGGCTCTTGCTAACCGACTTCGCCACCTGTTTAGGTATATCGCCGAACGGTTGGATCTCGTCCATCGTCTCGTACAGACAGGTCTTGAACTTGTCCGTGAAATCTTGCTCGTATTGCTTCGGGTTCACCGCGTTGTGGTACGCGATCGGGAACAATTTCGTAAAGAACTCGATGAAACGTTCCTGGAGCATGTCGCGGGTCAGGGGTTGCTGCAACGTATCCGGCGTGTTGCCGGGCGAGACATAGTCAATCATCGCCTGGTACAACGCTCTTATCGAGGGACGGCTCGACACCGCCATCGACCGGTACACTTGCTCGAACAGGGTCAACGTTTTATTCTCGGACTGTCTCGCGAGCATCGTAACAGTTTCTGAAAAGAAAATATACAAGATCATGTAACGCCAAGTCAAATGTTCACCGAAACGAAATGAATTTGGCAGAGAATTTGAATATTTCGACATAACACATGTTTGAACTCACTGCTTTTACTAATAGACCGGAGGGCCCACGAGGCTTTGGGTAATTACCAGAGGAGCCGGGATGCATCGCATCTTGCACTCACCTCATGACATTAGTGCAGAATCCGCCGCAGGGCCTGACGGAGGGACCGATGCCCTTACACCTGGGACAATAGGTCATCCTGAGGAGCGCCCCGTGGCAGGTCTCCTGCTGCGGGCTGGTACCGGAAAACAGCACGCTGTCGGTCCTATCCAAAACCGTTTTGCCGAGAGTCAACGCCTGGACGAGCACCCGCGTCGCCTCCAGGCTCTTGCTAACCGACTTCGCCACCTGTTTAGGTATATCGCCGAACGGTTGGATCTCGTCCATCGTCTCGTACAGACAGGTCTTGAACTTGTCCGTGAAATCTTGCTCGTATTGCTTCGGGTTCACCGCGTTGTGGTACGCGATCGGGAACAATTTCGTAAAGAACTCGATGAAACGTTCCTGGAGCATGTCGCGGGTCAGGGGTTGCTGCAACGTATCCGGCGTGTTGCCGGGCGAGACATAGTCAATCATCGCCTGGTACAACGCTCTTATCGAGGGACGGCTCGACACCGCCATCGACCGGTACACTTGCTCGAACAGGGTCAACGTTTTATTCTCGGACTGTCTCGCGAGCATCGTAACAGTTTCTGAAAAGAAAATATACAAGATCATGTAACGCCAAGTCAAATGTTCACCGAAACGAAATGAATTTGGCAGAGAATTTGAATATTTCGACATAACACATGTTTGAACTCACTGCTTTTACACATCTTAAATTCAATAAAAAACCATAATCTCAATCAAAATACTGAATATATACAGTCTTTAGTTAATGAAGATAATTACATCTTAATGATTCAACTTAATTGTTCGACATATAAGTTTGCAGAATTTCTAAAAAACGATAAAAATGTAACGATGAGACGTTAAATAAATGCATTCTGAAAGGAAAAACGCGAAGAAAGCAAATTTCGCAGTTATCGTCGGTGCACATCGATCGTAAAAGTATTGCAATAGCAGTAACAAGTTCCTCGAAGTAGCTGCGAATTACAAGGGTGAGAAGATTTTATAGTTAGCGCAACAACGCGTAGAGATCGTAAAGGGCTAGAGGCTGTAACACTAACGAGAACGTTTACCGAAGTAAACGGAATTTATCAAGACAGACTATGTACCCTACCAGGTCGTCGTTAAATTATACAATGTTTAAAGGCGCAATACGACGATCGTAAACAGGACAAAGCTTTTCGTGAAAGCTATTCACTTTTTTATGTCATTCTTTTGTACTCTACCGCATTCTTTATTCATGGTCATTAGCAAGGATCTTCATAAAAATTGTTATCAACATTTACGTTCATATTGTACGTATTATTACAATTTTACATTTAATTCAGCAGACAGACACAGACATTCAAAGTGATGTAGAATATACATAAAATCCGAATACCCAAACTACGAATGAGTGCGTCGCTAACAAGACTTTCGGTTATAGCTACGGTAAGGTTGTTTGGATTTTTACCGGTTTTCCGATACCATAGAATAGACTCCCACGACGCGGTAGCCAGTGAAAAGGCTGGGCAAACAACATCGAGCGAGCAAACGAAACGTTAAAAGACCCGACACGGATAGCCATGAATTCGTTTTCATGGTCGGATTCCCAGCGAGGCATAAAACAAATATCAGCCTATTACAACGGCGATCGAGGAATAATGAACTAGGGCCTGTTGCGGTGTAAACCCGGGCTGGGTCGTCTCAGCCTGCGGACGATGACTAAGAACAAATTGCCGACGCACAGGCGGACTCCGGGATCTAGTAACATTCCTTTCTTCTTTCTCGTCTATCGAAATACCGCGCGAAGGAGGAAATCGCTGGACAGGGAGGGGAATAATAGAACGCGGAGCGATGGAACGCAAAAGAAGAAACGGAAACGAGACCCGGCGGGAGGGGAGAAACGAACGGAACACGTCCGAAAAGAAAAGGAAGGTAACGTAGAAAGGTTCGTCGCGGTGTGTCCACCGTCCTCGTGGTATAGGTAGGCAGTAGGTACGACTCTCTGTCTCTCGTCCTCTTCCGAAACGCTTCTTTCACCTACAATTTCAGCCCCCTCGTCCCGCGTCTCGTTCCGAGGCACTTGAGGCCATTCCGCGGCACAGAGGAGAGAGACAGCCTCGGCATTCCTCTCGCCGGTCATTTTATTTTAGCGCCACCGTGTGGGAGAGTGCCTTTTTACATCTCCCTCCCAGCTACGTTCTTCTTCTTTCTTCAACGCAAATCCGGCCGCTTTGTATATCTCTTTGGGAGGCTCATTCGTGCGAGGCCGATGGACGACGACGTCGCGTCGGTGTGCCGTTCTCGCATGGTTATATCCATCCCGATGGTGGTGGCCGTGCTGCGGAGGACAGAGGGGCTGCAAAAGGTACGTGGGAACTGTACCACGCAACTTGACCGCTGCAGGAGTCCGGCCACGGCAAAATTTTAACCGCTTCGACGTCCAAGAAGGACCTGGCCCTCTCGCATCGCTGTTCGTGGTCGTGTTTCGATCGCCAAGAATGATTTATCGCGGGAATCCTGACTACAAGCGCAAATACACGGTAGCTACTAAGTAACGAGAATCAAGTTCAGCTTGTTCAGTAGGAAACATTCTTTGATATTAGCAATCAATAGTAAACAAGATGAATTAATTTATAGAACGACCTCCTTTTTATAATATAATGCATGCGATGCTTCTTATTGACTCTTATTAAAATTCATACATACGCATCATGGAAAGTATGCGACAAATCTATATACATGAATAAAATTAAACTTCCAATTCGTGTCCCATTAACTCGCGTCGATACGAGTTCGACTTATGCCCTCCAGCTTCTATTGCACGCACATAACACATGTGAACTCTAATAATCTGTTGCATTATTGAAGCGTATGTATAATACATATGCATACGGTAATGTCACAATTAGAGTCGATCTACACGTATCCACGTTGCGTCCGCTCCACATTTCTTCTGCGGAGACGCGCGACATACGCAAGGGGAATTCGCCTGGTCAAACATGAATAAGAATAGAATAAACGGTCACGTTCAAAAGTTCTCGAACACGGGGGAACACGACGTTTTAGAGAATTAAATCAAGGTTGAAACCGATGTCGCGTGTGTCCCTCTGCTAACATTCTTATTACTACTATCGTTGTAAAATATATTCTACGGACAGTTCATAACATGAGTCATAAATTATTATTCAACTAAATGAATTGGATAATTCTTGATTTTATAATATATTTAAGCACAGAGACGGAACTAATTGTAAGAGATAACAAATGGCCTGACACTTGTGTATGATACGGTGCGAGGGGAGGTGAGATTTGCCTAAGTGCGTGAGCTTAATTACATGCGGAATATATGTACGAAAAAGAGCAGTCGCCTCTTCGAGAGTTGAAAGAGGACCTCTTATCCGTTTCAAGTGGCTACCGAAGAGTAGGAACGCGTCCACTCGACACGTAGAAGAATAATTATTATTACCGAAACATAATCTGCGGTCTCTTAACAACTGGATCGATCGCGGTTACGCTAATTAATTATCCATTATCGTGGCCCGGCGAAAATCTAATTTCCATCGCCATTATGGTCTCCCGCTCTCAGCGATAAGATTAAAACTAATGGGATTACGCGAGAATCACTCTTTGAGAATTTTCGTAGCAGGAAGTATCTTTGGATCTTACAGAAATTTATATTATCATACTATTTTTAATATGCAGTCAATATTTACGTGTACAATCATTTATAGAAACTTTATTTACTAGACGGAAATGTTTTAAAATAATACTAGAATAGTAACGTTATTAACGAGAGTTCTCCAACTCTTAGTACATAAATAAAAAAGAAATTTAATAAGAACTGAAACGGAAACTCAATAAGGAAAATCGAAGTTAATGGAATGAGAAACGTGTTTCCTTCTAAAATTGAAACTGGAATTCCGGGAGAAAACTTCATCCGGACCAAAGTTGACGGAATCGATGCTAATTAATTCATTACTAGCTCCGCCGAAACCTGTTCCGCCGAACGAACAATCGTGAACGAATCAACGCCTACGCCGGGCTTTGGCGACCTTAACGTGGCTCGGTGGGTGCGGTGCACGACAATATAGGGTGTCCCATGAAATTAACTGACTTTTCCATTAGAAAATTGCATTTCTTATTCTCAGATTACTTAACTTTAGAGTTTCAAATACTTTTGGTCACAGTAACAGAGTTAGTTCATAAAAATCTTTTAATTAGGAAACATTCTTTGCTTTCACTGTTCTTCGTCTGTCTACATATATCATACGAAGTGAAGAAACACTTTAATACGTAAATACATATAAGTATTATGTTTCATATCAATATTGAACGTCAAATCATCCATCGTCGAATATATCGTTGAACGCGTAAAAAAACGAATTCTCAAATCGGACGTAAAATTGGAGAGACGGTACAAACTATGTAGGGACGCGAGTGACCCACGCGATAAGGATCTCGGGTCCGCGATTTTCCGCGAGTATCGAAAATAGAAGCGGGCACCGGACCGAAGTCCAGGTTGCCGAGGCAACGACACGCGCAGCGACCACGACTTTCGCCTCGTCTCTTTTCCTTTTCTTCGGCCTCTCCCTGTCTGTGCTCGCGCGCGGTCGAGGCCCGTTTTACCTTTTTCACCGTGCGAAATTACTGTACGTACACGCTGTAGCGAATATATACTCGGCGACAACGCGAGTAAAGTCATGCGCTACGAAAATCGCGGAGATACGCGCTGGAACGAGTCTAAGCCGCCTCCGCTCTTCTATTCTATCTCTCTGTTTCGCGATACTAGAACTTAGTGGAAACGTACACGCGTATCTACCGTACGAGCCCTCTATTTTACGTATTAAACAGATCCGTAGTCAATTTAAGACAATATTCTGGGTGTATGTAATTGTCTAAAGATTATTATTCTTTAGAGGCGACTTTATCTAAGATGTCGAGAATTTATCATAAATCATTGATATCTTTTAACATCCTGAAGGAATTTTAAGATATATTCTATTCAAGATTGTATATGTACTTACATAAATACAAAAATTATAATATGTATAGAATTTCTCTGGACGGTTGTAATAAAATTATTTTACAGACATTGAAGATTGTTTCATACAATAAACGAATTAAGAGGAAATTTCCAATGTTGCATTCGCTCGCAACAGACGAGACATTCGCTTATCAACGTATCAACCGCGTTATCGGTTAAATACACGCGTTTCAGCCTTTTCAACAGCTGAATGATGCCCACCTTCCGCCAACTGAATGGCACTACGATATCATGATTGATGCTCTTTTTAACACAATCCTAAATAAAAATAAGCTATCATATTTGTAAATATGAACACAACACAATCCCCAAAATAAAATATGTATCATCCTTCTCACTTCTTACAGTATTTCAAATATCATTATTTTCTTATTGTATAAAAATGTGGAATATATTAAGTAAGAAATAATTCATCAATAAATGCTTCAAATGCTTTTCAGTTGGATGGCATGTCACTTGACAAAGGAAGAAGTTTTGAATTAGAAATATATACTGTTATATTCATGACCTTTAGAATCCAGAGAGACAAGTGAGTACTCAGAGTTGAATCGAGAT